TATGTGAGCACTTCATCAGCTTGTCGAACCCTTTTAATTGACCTTACATCAACTCCTAAAGCTTTTTTATTTTGGCTAATCCTCAGTGCAGCTTGGCCCTCTCTTCCTTCAGTACCATTGGTTCTTGATCATATTCTACCTCTTGAAATGGCTGAATGTCAACTAGTCTTCTTGGTACAGTGATTCTGCGTATTCCTTGCATCTTCTTCTGATGCTTCCTTCATCGATCAGTATTTTTGCCCATAGAATCTTCTAATATTGCAATGCGAGGCTTGAATGTTTTTCAGTAGAAACTGTTCTACTGGTGTTTGTTTAGCTGTGTTTATTTTCAAAGCAACACTATATATAAAAGTCCTACCCTGAATACAACCTGTGTGTATAATCCCTCTTGCATGAGAAGTAGGGGCTGCCACTACAGCTGGCCTTTCTCATTTGAAGTCTGTTTCCCATGCTGGGACTGCTGAGTCTGACAGCGCAGGGTACTGTGCACAGCTCCCAGGGGTGTCACGCCCCTCACGGATAACAGAGCTTTGTAAGTTTACTACTGCTAGTGTCCAGCAGATGGCAACAGAGTGTCTTGTCCTAACAGAAGTACTAGGTCCTAGGAATTTTCCGACTGATGGATGGGAAGGGTCTTGAGGAAGAGGCTCTGGTTACTGGTTGACACAAAGTTGCCATGTAGTCTACGCGGGCCTTAGTCACACGCATGTGGTTTCTTACCTGATCACGCCAGTTTTCACTGGGACTTGAGTGAAACTTTACCGAGCAGATCCATTTTCCATCCAGCAGTTCCTAAGCCTTTTGTTTTGCGACACTGACTGCAGTCCCCACCATGTAACGCCACTAACTCCCTCTGTGTGTCTCCTGTTTGCATTCACCCTTCCTCCCTCACCCCCGTTCCTGCTTTCTGAGTCTTCCAGGCAAATGCCCACGCTTTTGTTTTCAAGACGGCTGCTTGTTCTAAGGAGGGTGTGCCTTCCTGGTGTTGGGGAGGGAAACGGATTTCTGGGGCGGCCCAGTCAGGCAGGGGCTGTGGACTGGCAGAGGAGACGAGGCCTGCCCAGCAGCGGCAGTGGCTTTTCTGAACCAGCCCGGCCAGACCAGCTCACGGAGCCTGGTTTCTTGTGAGATCCCTGGCCTCTGGGTTGTTTCCTGCGCTGTGGTGCCAAGGCCTTGGGTGTGCTCTTTCTTGGGACTGAGCGGGGCCTCATGTTGATGGGCCTCTCTCTTCGGTTACTCGGTTATTTACATAGTGTGTCTCTGTCTCAAGATGTCAGCAGTGCAACATCAGCCCATTGTTTATTTCCAAACATAAACAAGCCCCCACGGAATGCCTCTGGCACATGGCTTTAATTCGGAGGCAGTGTGAAGTGTGTGTGTGTCCGTGTGTGCGCCTGCATGCCCGGGCTGTCTTGGGAGAAGCAGGGCTGGGGTTCTGTAGCCTGGTGTGGAGGGGAACTGATAACCCCGGTGGCCCCTGGAGGGTCTGCTCACCCTTACACATTCCTGGGACCACGTCTCCAATAGGTTATTTGACACATTCCTGCTTGAGGTCAGATGCAATGGTGGCGGATAAATGAGCTGTGAGCACAAAGCCAGTCCCCAAGCAGCAGCTTCTGGGAAGCCCCTGCCCCAGTTGGAGGCAGTTGGTGGTGTTATGTTGGGTGGTGGCTGGGGGGGAGGGGTGGGCAGCAAATACTCCCTGTCGTTCGCCACATTCCTTTTAGAAGGGACTGGAAACAGGCCCGGGGCCTTCTGGGAAGAGAGCAGCAAAAAGGATGGAAAAGCAGCGAAACTTCCCTTTGCTCCAAACCACGTTGGTTTACAAAGGGGCAAACGGGGGAGAGGAAGGCGTCTCCATGCTGGACGCCATCAGCAAGGACCGAGAGTGTCCCTCCTTGGCTGAGTTGAGTAGGCACTGGCCTGTGTGTGGGGTGGAGCAGACTTTGAGAGACCCCTGCCCCATGGTGGAAGAGTTTCTCTCTTCTGAAGGGGAAACACCCAGCCTCTTCACTCTCTCCACGTGACTCAAAGGCTGGCTTGGATGAGCTGAAGGCATTTTTTAAAGGTGCAAGTCAAACGTGAAGCTTGTATCCCTTCTGTGCTTGTTTTCATCCCTCTTCCCTCACAAACAGGCCTGCAGGGCTGTCTGGAAGAGGCAGTGGCGGGGTGCCGGCACCTTCAGACCCGGTCAGGAGCTGCAGGAAGGGAGGAGGGCTTTGGGTTTCCCCGCTTTCTGCCTGCACGATGCCTTGGCAGGCAGCTGCAGGCCTTGCACATACAGTTTAAATTATGGCTCCCGGTGTCTGTTGACATGCAGGCTTCACGAAAGCTGATTCAGATCCATTTCAGGGTTTGAAGGAGTGTCTGGTTAGCCCGGGCCCCTCGCTGTGGATTTTGCGCCGGAGCCAGGGCCTGCTGCGCCAAGCACGAGGCTGCCTGGGATGTCGGTGGACGGGCTTCTGGAAGGTCCCCGGGGAGAAGGCTGGGCTGGAGTTCAGCTCTGGGAAAGGCCTTTGCCGACCTTATATGGGCTTCTGTCTTTGATGAGCAGTTTAAGGTGGGCATGAGCGCACACCCGTCATCCCCTGGTGGCGCACACAGTGAAGCACAAAGCTGGCAGTTCAAACCCACCCAGAGGTGCGTCAGAAGAAAGGCCTGCAGATCAGCATCTGAAAGGGGACAGCTGCGCAGAAGCAGCTCTGTGCTGACCCACGGCATCACCATACGTTGGAATGAACTCAATGGCAAACGGGTTTCCTATGGCACCACGGTCGCTGTAGTGCGCCCGGGAGCTGGTGAGACAGGGCTCCCTCACCGGGCCAAGTTCCATGTGCCCCTCCGGGCTCAGCCTAGCCTCCACCCCTGGTGGCTGTCACTGGTCTCTGTCCACTTACACAAGACCTGTCACCTAGAAGGGATGACTGTCTGCAGAATGAGGGCACGGGCATCCTTGCCAGCATAAAGCTGCTGGCTCACAGGCCTCTGTGGTGCTCTGACCACATGGGAACAGCTAGGACCCTGTGCAAGCTCATGTTCGCATGGGATGGCTCAGGGGACATCACGACTGTGTGTACATCTGGCCATGCATGTGCACCCCTAGTCGTCATGAGCACATCCAAACAAGGCCCTGTCTCATGGCAGCATTGTTTGTAGTGCTACCGAAGGCTACCCTCAGGACAACTGCAGCGCTCGGGCCACTTGGCAGAGGGAAGAGGACTTGGGCATCGTCCTCCGTGCACACACCCTGGTTAGCAGTGGCACGCGCCTGCGTGCCTCTTGGAGGCGTTTCTGTTGAAAGGAGGGGAAGGCATGCTATGTGAAGTGTGGCCCCTAAGCCAGACCCATCCAATCTTCCCCTCCAATCCAAATGCCAGGCTGGATCTTAGGGCAATACAGCCCAGACGTTATGCACTAGGCCATGGAATATCAGCAAAAGATGGCCAGATCATCTTACTCAGTACCCCGGGGGGGGGGGGGCAGGGAACACAGCCAGCCATAGCCATGCCCCTCCTGAACTCCCACCCCACCAATAACTCAGACACGCCTCATGGCTGGTTTAAGGCCCTCAGTTTACACTGCAGGAGCTCCGTGGTACAGCCACAAAGCCTTCCATTTAGCCAACAGAACCACGAAGGGCCGTGAAACCTTACTATAATGGATGCCCTGGGTACCTGCCTGCTTCCTCCTTTATGGAGGTCCCACCCCGCTCCTCCCCCTACCTTAGCCACACCTGTTCGGAGCCGTGGGAGGCAGGTGGCCCCAGACGGATCTCTTTATGCAGAGAACATCAAAATGAGAGCCCGCCGCTGGGCTCCGCTAGCGATCTCTGGGTTGGACTCCGTTTCTTGTCCACCTAGTCTCATGCTTGAGCAAGAAACACACACTGTTTTCTGACCCCAAAGACAACAACGGTTTGAATTTAAAACATTCAATCGCAATCAGCTGAGCGACTGTTTGCACCTGGCGCCTGGGGCATGGAAAAGCACCAGCTCTGTCCCAGCTGTGTCCCTGGTCCTGCTCTAAGCGCTAGAGTGGGGATGAGCACAGACAAGGCCCCCACCCCCGGGACCACCGAGTCCCAGTGGAGGAGACAGACCAGCCTCAGATCATGATGCTGGGCCATTCATCATGAAGATGGGGGTGGGGGCCTTCCAAAAGTTCCTGGGGAAATCCCATTCTCCCTTAATTCCATTTCCCCATGAACTTTGGAAGCTCGGCCGTGAAAGGGCCTCAGATTCCTGAGAGGAGAGAGCGAGAGTGCGACCGTGAAACCCACCAGGCCTTGGGGCGATGGCTTCGCTGAGAAGTGAGCTTGAGACAAGGAGTGAGGGAGGCGCAGCGGAACCTGGGGAGGGAGGCAGTTACTGTGCTACAGCCTGGTCCCCCGCAAACGAGCTCCCAGGGGCTGGAAGGATCCAGGAAGCCGCTCCCCAGGGGGTGCACTAGACGTGCCGCCCATTTCCCCCGGTAGGCAAGGACAAAGCACTGCTCTGGGCCTCCTTTTCCCGACCTTTCCTTCCGTCCATGGAAAATCCTTCCACTCCTGGCTGCTATCCTCAAGCTCCAGCTTTGGGTGGACACAGGCCGCGGGGCCAGCAGTCAGCAACTACCAGCCAACCTGCAGGAGAGAGGGGCTTCCTACTCCTGCGAAGTCAGTCTCAGCCCCCGTCCTACAGGGTCGAGATGAGTCAACCTTGACGCGTGGCTGTGCCCTTGGTTGTTGGTGGCTCTCTCACACGAGGGCTGGAGGAAGCTCTGCTAGACACGGTAGTCAGGGTGGGCGTGCTTGGCGTGCTCTCTCTTTCTCTCTCTTGTGGCTTCCCAAGGAGCCAAGATTCAATTCCAGGCATGGGACAGTGCCTCCCTGGTACTGGTACCCTGGAGCAAGGAAACTCTTCCATGGTGCTCTAAGCCTGCCGTGGCAGGAGAGCAGGGCTCCCACAGGGGTGGATGGTGGATGGTGGATGGTGGATGGGGGCCCGTGGCCGCAGACTCACCTTCCACAGTAGCACGGCCAGCAGCAGGAAGATGAGGATCCCCACCAACAGACTGATGGCAATGATCCAGCCCACGACGTAACCTCGTGGCTCCAGGTTGTGCAAGGCTTCGAAGACCACCTACGAGGCAATGCAAGACTGAAAACACGGCCCAAACAGCAGACGCGCCCACAGCATGACGCAGCCCAGCCGGCCTGGACATCCGGAGAAAGCTCAAGATAAGCGCCCAGTTGGCTGCGAACAATGCCGGCAGGTGCTTTCCTGGAGTAGGGCTACTACATTGTCCACCCACCCCTCTGAAGGCACCAGTCATCTGTTGTGAACTGAACGGTGACCCTGCGAAGCTGCGTGGTACATCCTAGCCCTGTACCTGTGGGGCTGAACCCATTTCAGATGGGTTTTCTTTGTTGTCTCAATGAGACGGCATGAATGCAAGGGGGTGTCGAAAGTCCTTTTTTTCTTAGATCTAAAAGAGATCAAACTAGCAAGTGAGTAAGCAGATACCGCATGAAGATCACCATGGAGCCCAGGTACAAATACAAACACTGAAGAGAGAGAGAGCGAGCGAGCTCGCACCAGTCCCTTCCCCTCTTCTCAGACTTCTAACCTCCTCAATTGTGAGCAAATAAAGCCCTGTGACCGCCATCCACTTTTGGTCTGTGTTACAGCAACACAAGGTCCCGAAGACAAAAACCCAAGCCCCGAATCTTAAAAGGGCGACAATCAGCTTGATGACACAGCATTGTAAAATCTGTGCTTTGCGAATCCTCACCACCACCCCTGCGGTAGGACTCCAGCACCCATTCTCCAGAGAGGGACACAGGAGGCCCAGAGAGGACAAGCGGTCTGCTCTGGACCAGGCACCCATTGGCGATCAGAGTGCTGGCTATACGGGTGTGCACGCGCTCTATCCACGCTGTGGCACGCCCATGCTCACAGGACAGGGAACAAACACCCCACAGTTATCTGTCCTCTCTGCTGCTGTTGGGCACCAGGTTCATGTTCAGTTTGGGGCTGCTCCCACAGCTGATCTTCAGACCATCGGTGCCCAAAGGGAGGGGCACTGAAATCAGTTCTCTTAAGCTCCCAGTCTCTGGTTAGGTTCCCACTAGAGTCACATCTTTAAAGACAGAAGGCCCTGGGTGGCACAGTGCTGACACATTGGGCCACTAACCACAAGGTCAGCAGTTCAAAACCACCTCTCATTCTGTGGGAGAAAGATGAGGCTTTTCACTCCTATAAAGAGCTACGTCTCGGAAACCCACAAGGGCAGTTCTACTCTGCCCGCGGGGTCACCATGAGTCGGAATTGAATTGGTAGCAGTGAGCTTGATTTTTGGCTTGGTCTTTAAGGATGGACAGGGAGATTCTTGCCCTGTGAAAAGCTGTGGACCCATTCCCCTTCCGCACTCAGAGTCCCTGCTGGTGTTTTGTACAAGAACTGTGGGGCCTGGTGGCCAGGAGGAAAGGTCTCAAGGTAGCAGCCCGGGGCTGCTAAGGTACCAGCTTGCACCACCCAGCCTGGTTGCATCGGGGCAGCTGTTGGCAACTCAGGAGGAGCCGATTCCTCCTCCGAGAAACATGCTCTGAGAAGGAGACTGGCATGGTTTCTGGAAGGCCTGCTCAGCCCTCTCGTTCACAGAGAGTCCGTGAGGTGGGCTATGAGCCCAGTGGGAGCCCCTTGTAAAGCCCAGCCCATTGAGGCCACACAGATGGCTTCTGAGGGACACTGCCTGCCTCAGAGTGTCTACAGCCTGCATCCTGGCAGAACCCCCTTGGAGGCCTGGCTTTCTGGATACAGAGACAGCACGTGTGCCACAGTTTAGTCTGGCAAAGCCTACAAGCAGGCCTTGTCATGTCCTGGAATGTGTGCTGAACCTTGTATCACTTTTGTGGGGCCATAATCTGCTGGGACACGTGCTTTATGCTTTGTCCCAGCCCGTTCCCTCTCATCACAACCCTCGTAAAAAAGCCCTTGGGTGGGGGTGGGGGTCAGCTAAGCACCCTGGAGCTTAGTTAACAGCCCCACAGCAGCACGGACTCCTGGGAGAGCTGGGACACTGACCCTCATGAACACGCTGGGCGATCTGGCTCAAGCCCGTTTCCCTCTAACTACCCTCCGATCCCTCCTCTCATTTCCACCCGTCCCACTGCCCTCGTCCGGTCCGGTGGTCTGGCTAGCAGGATGCCGACAGCGAGACGTCATCTGAGGGCACGGTGGTCCTTCTAAAACACAGGTCTTGTCACGCCCCTTCTCGGCTCACACCATCTGTGGCTTCTCATCACTCAGCAGCTCAGGAGGCCAGGTCTTTCCAATGGGCCTCCTGCCTCCCCTGACACGTCCTCACGTCCTCTGACCAGTGACACATGCACCCACCTGCTTTTGCCAGCTGGAAGGTCCTTCCAGTAGCTCCAGTACTGCACATCTTAAAAATGATGATGCCCTTTGACCCATTAGTTCTGGACTTGGAGATTGACTCAAAGGTAAGGCAGATAAAACACAGGCAGAGTTCAATACTCAGAGATGTTCATTGCAAAACACTACCTATTGATATAGAATCAGAAATACTTGGCCCACGAAACCACGAGGGCATCATCAGGCAAATTAACTGTCACCCCCAAATAACATAATAAGTTATGAGTTGAGCTGCTAACTGCCAAGGTCAGCTGTTCTAAACCACCCGCCGCTCCATGGGTGAGAGATGAGGCTTTCTACTCCCGTGAAGATTTACAGTCTTGGAAACCCTCAGAGGCAGCTTTACACTGTCCTGTAGGGTGGCTATGGGTTGGAGTAGACTACGGGTTGGTGGCAGTGAGTTTGATTTGGTTTAAACATGGTGTATTATAGAGCTCTTAAAAACAACGGCTATAGAGCTAACCAGCAAAGTATAATTTCTGGAAAGTAAAAAGCATGACTCTCATACAAATACTGAGTGAACACATGTCAAAGATTTCTCAATTCATTAAGGGGATCATCAGAGTTATGAGCCAGGATGTGCACGCAAGTCCAGACAGAAGGGCAAGAACGCTGGGATCAGACCGCCACATCAGAGGCAAGACTGGTTAATATCAGACAGAGATTCTCTACCAGATGGAAATCATGGGCATCTTTATTGGTAAAAGTCGTTCTATGAGTTTACAGTCTTTTACAAGTTAATACGTAACATCACCAAACTCGCTGTCATCAAGTAGAGGCTGACTCACCGGGGCCACATTGGACAGGGCAGAACTGCCCCTGTGAGTTTCTAAGACGGTAACTCTGTACGGGAGGAGACAGCCCCATCTTTCTCCCTCGGGGTGGCTGTTGCTTTTGAACTGATGACCCTGAAGTTTGCAGCCCAAACGCATAACCACATGCCACCAGGGATCCTTCTGTAACATCAGAGGCGAGTCATCCTTGGGCAGGCCTGTTAGACCAGCACCTTTTAAAATCTCACCTATCGGAATCATATGAGGAAACTCGCTGAAAGGCAGATTCTGGATCAGGAGTCTGGGACAGGAGCCTGAGACCATTTAAAATAAGCTCTGTGGCAGGTCCATAATCTGTCAACTTGTGAAGGGGTGGAGTCTAGCCTGTCCATCAGGTTGCAGCTTGACCTCCTTTGGAGGTGCCATGGAGATAAATAGCTCACTGGAGGCCAGGTACACACAGACTCGCTCTGCTTTGTCTTCCTGCTGACAAGCCACATGGAGACCCCTGATGGAACTAGAGCCTGGAGCTGGAGGAGCCACGTGGAGATGCTTCACTACCACTGGATCCACAAGACTTCCCACCCACTGGCCTGTGATCTTCCTGCATTTTGTGTCGTTGCATGTGCTGCGTGCGTCTGAAGAGGACTTTATCAACTGGTATCAGACATATAGGCTAATATCAGACTTATGGACTTGATCTGGACTAGGCTGTTTTCTTACCATACAATTACTCTTTGATATAAAGCTCTCTCTTACACACATATGAGTATCTATGAATTTGTTTCTCTGGTCAACCCAGACTAACACAAGCTCCCAGGAGCCCTGGTGTTGCTGGTCCTCAGGCACTGCTTTGACCTTTTGGGGTGAGGTCACGCTGAAGTACATCTCTGAGAGGGCAGACAGCCTTTTGCCTGACTTCCCAATTTGACCTACTTGTGAAAACACGGGGATAAGTGAAAAATGATAATGCTATCATGCTAGGTGAAAAGAAGGCCAGAACAATGATTCAGTGAATGGACTCTTCAGCTATGCAAAAAAGAAAGAAAGGTAAGCATTACATGATATATATAATGGATAGTTTTTCTCTTTAGAAAATTTTGGACTTTCCTAAAAAGAACTTTTTTTTTTTAAGCTAGGAGCCCTGCTCCAATATCTCCTCCCTCAAGCAGCCCAGCCCCATCTCCTTTTGCAGCAGAATTCTTCCTTCTCTGAGCTGTGGTTGGCGACACCATCGTTTTCAGGCTCATATAGCAGAGAAAGTCCACCAGAGCACCCCAACATTTAACACAGACAAAAGTGAGATTCTCAGGTTGAAAGGAGGCCATTCAGGACCCAGCCTGCCCCGTCTCCCTTCCCAGATCTTCCTCCCCCCAGCCCAGCAGCCTCTCAAGCCCCTCTGGAGGACCAGGCTGCTACACAGTTCAATTTAAAAACCACAGCCCGGTGAGTACTTCATAGACCCAGTCTAGGTCCTTCTGCAAGGTAACGCTGTATCTTCCCCTCTGCGGGGCCCAGGAAGCTGCGGGTTCCTACAGGACAAGGGCTTGTGTGTACGTATCCCTGTCGTCTAAGTCGAGGCGGTGATTTGTTACGTGACTCGAGTGCACAATGAACGAATTCAATGGTCCTTCCACCATAACACTAGACGAAGCGCAAACATGATTGCGTCTGCCGCATCAGATCTGAGGGTTTAGGCTGGAGTCTCGGCGTGTGCTTCACTTCTATTTTAAGAGGGCGATTGCCTGGGTGGCAGAGAATGGTTGTTGCTCACCTAAGGTTGGTGGTTTGAATCCACCCAAGTTGTGCCAAGAAAAAAGGCCTGGAGATGCCCTTCTGTAAGATTGTCACCACTGAATTTCTACTCAAACACGTGGGATCGCTGTGAGTTGGAGAGGATTCTACAGTACTGGGCATTTGGGAGGAACCCTG